GTTGGGGGCATGTGCAGCACCTGGGTAAAGTTCAGTGATGTGGTTGCAGGCGCGCCTGAGTGCTTGATCTTCGGCGAGTCGGACAGCAGAAAAATGGAATTTTCTTGGTGAAGCAAACTGAGAAAAACCAACTCTGAAATGGACCGGACCTGATTTGTCTGAAAGTAGAGTACCTCTTTCCATCTCATGGTTGATCAACATTATTTTCCCCATCTTTCGGTGGCCAAGTTTGGCCATAAATGGGGGTATAGCCATGTATACAGTGTCTGTAGATACCACTTTTGGAGGAACCATAACCGGTCGTATCCCATTATATGGATATAAATATCCCATGAACTAGTCCATTAAATAAATATCCTATTAAATATCCCGACATCCCACTGCATGTTCTAGCGCATATTCCATTCAAACTCATTTGAAAATTTATCCATAGATTCCAGATATTTCCAGATATAACTGGTTATCTCACATATCCCATTAATTCCCATTGTATAAATATCCTATTGTTGGTTAAACAGTTAAACATTCCCATTTTAAGCCATGGTATCTTTCACCGTAGGTGCTTCAGCCCTCGGCTTCGGCCTCTCCGGTGCTATTGTGGCCCTCTACGCGCTGTACGCAGGCTGTCGCATGGGTCTCGGTAAAACCCAATGCCCCCTGTTGGTTGGTTGATTGATGATTATAGAGATGATTATAGGGGATTATACTACCCAAAATGAATTGGGGATTAAGACAAAATCAGCTCTTAAGCATTGTCATGCCTGACTGAAGCTTAGCTGTCAACGGTGTTGTCGTAAAGTTTGGCAAATGTTATGCGACAAAGGGTTGCAATCACACTTTTTTCACACGTTTTTGGTGAAGTTCAGGTGGCTATGCTTTGTGCTGTAACCATTAAGAATAGGATAATTTTAGAATGTTTTAGATGTTAATCATCGCACATATGCATTTAACCATCAAAACTTGATAAATCTAATCCAAGATGTTAATCATCAAACACGAGAATTTAATCATCAAACATCGGAATTGAACCATGAAGAAGTGACAAACATGGTGCTGTGGTGGTCTCCTAAACTTGAGGGAACCTGAAATCATCCAATTGACGAAAGTGAATGGGAAACCCAGGGGGAAAATGGGTAATTCACATTAATTAACCATAATTAACCCAAGTTTGGAGATATTTTCATCGGGACATGAAAGCGTTGCCACGATTGGACCTACTCTCGATGGCTTGCGAATTGGCAGGCGCCGACTTGGATTCAACTTCCAGTGTTCAGCGAAGCTTCAAGGACCGGGGTGAAGTAGTTTTGCTCACCACTTCTGTTGTGGATGTCTTTGGCATCTGTGGGTAGATGGAAAGTGTTCTGGGGTAGCCAGTAGATGCCAGTAGCCATCAGTTAAATTGTCGTATGGCGTCACCCATGAAGAAAAGTCCATGGGTCTTGGAAGTTGCTGCAGGACTGGGTATGGCTTCGGCTTATTTTTGTTGCCTTCCACATTGCCATGGAGTGAGCTTCCCAGAATCAGCGCTTTTTCAGGTCACTGCTTTCAAATACTTTCAAGACCTGGAACTCAGCACAACTCCAAATAACTCCAGGTTCGTGCGTGGAATGTCTCAGCGAGATATTGCGGGTCTTTGGGCCCATACCACCGCCTTTATCAGCGGCTTCGCGTGCGCGATCCGTTGCAGGGGTGTGGTGGCAGATGTATTTTGAAGTCTGCTCATTATTGGGTTCTACTGGTATGTATTGATTGATGATGATTGGTGTTGGCATTCATTCCACAGAATTGATTGACTTGGTACTTGGTGCTTACCGATGTGCGAGCGAACAACATCAACATTTGCCGCTCAGAGACTCGCATAGCTTGTTTATTCAAGAAAGTGGTTGAACTTTGCCTGGACATATTATTTATGGCCATCCAGTTTTGGATGGTTTCCCTATATTGTTGATGGCTGGTTATCTCCTTCTTGTGATTGTTTCTCCAATCCCATGTTCTCAATATTTCTCAATCATTTTGATGTTTAATTCCCATATTTTGATGCTTACACTGAGTTACACTTGATGCTTCAATCGTGTTCGCTGCCTATTAACATTTCGACCACTGACCCGCCAGGTACGTGATGTATTTTTTGCCCCCCATGGGCGATGGCACCTTGCTGTCCGCCGAGCGGCCCTACGTCGTGGCATGCGCTTATGACCCTCCTCTGTACTACCAGTTTTTTTTCCTGGGGGTTCAGTACGCTTTTTAAAAAACACTATTTTCCAAAAATCTAGCAGACAGTGGGTGAGGGTCCCAGGGCATGATATGGGGCCAGGAATAAAATATCATACCAAAAAAGGCCCAGATTTTTTTTCCTGAAAGCTTCCTGACGTACAGTGACAGGAAATCAATTTCTGCCTGTTGTGATTGAGGGGGGGGTTGATCTATCAGTCTGTGTATGTAAGGCATCAGGAAATCAATCATGAATGACTCTGATAACGGTAAGTTTGTAGAATTCCCAAGGTTAGTAGCCACGAATTTGAAGGTGGATGGATCAAATGGGAGTTTACTAGAACATATCTAAATGTCAACCCCAGGAAAAAATGTACCATGATTAATTGAGGGGGTATGATTCTTTACATGACTTTGCAAAAGGGTACAAACACATATGTTCACCTTCACCAACCACTTCAAGAGGCCAAGGCGCAGGGGTCTAAAATCCAAGGGGCTGGACCTTTTTTGACTGAATAGCGGATGATCTTCAAAGGTTGGCCCCACAGTCGCATCACCAGGCCAATCATCCACAGATAGGACATGATGGGACTTCAAGAACCAACGCGCGCCCCAAAACACAGCTGAAAATACAGTTGTCCTTGCAAAAAGACACACATGGCTTCACCAACCAAAAAAGTGACTTGAAGAGGCCGAGGCGCAGGTGTCAAAAATAAAATCCAAGGGGGGACTGAATACTTGCATAATCTTCATGGCCCACAGGAAAAAAATCGCATCTCCAGGCCAATCATCCACAGATAGGACATGATGGGACGAATTCAAGAATTTTGTGTTTGACTGAAAATACATTTGTCCTTGCGGATGTTCAGCTTCACCAACCAAAAAAGGTGACTTCAAGAGGCCGAGGCGCACGTGTCAAAAATAAAATTCAAGGGGCTGGACCTTTTTTGCCCCGGATGATCTTCAAAGGTTGGCCCCACAGGAAAAAAGTCGCATCACCAGGCCAATCATCCACAGATAGGACATGATGGGACGAATTCAAGAATTTTGTGTCAACGCGCGCCCAAATTACAAAACATATGTTTTTTGCTGAAAATGCATTTGTCCTTGCAAAAGGGTACAACCACATATGTTCAGCTTCACCAACCAAAAAAAGGTGACTTGAAGAGGCCGAGGCGCAGGTGTCAAAAATAAAATCCAAGGGGCTGGACCTTTTTTGGCCGAATTCTTGTGGATGATCTTCAAAGGTTGGCCCCGACAGGAAAAAATCGCATCACCAGGTCAACCATCCATAGATAGGAAATGATGGGACAAATTGAAGAATTTTGTTCCAACGTGTGGCCAAATTGCAAAACAGGCGTTTTTTCCTGAAGATACATTTGTCCATGCAAAAGGGTTGCGCATTGCCGCGGGCATCTGCCGGACCGCACTCGTGAAGCCGTGGACTCTGAAAAACTGCGAGCTGTCAGCCGGGAAGTCAGGTGCCAGGAATTCATTTTTTTCCGTATCAGATTGAGGGGGTGAAGATATGGCATGTTACCAACGCAAGCATCCAGGAAATATTTTTTTTACTTGGATATCAGAGTGGTAAATTTATTGGATGTTGGACGTTGGGCACCAGGAAATTAGCAAATAAAATCCAAAAGGGTGGTTGGAAGTGAGATTTCGGCTTCAGAGGTTAGGAGCCAGGAATTTAAAGCTCTAAAACCTCTCTCAAAGGTTAGGGGTCATAATTTTAGACCAATTTTTTTCTAGGACTGTACCCCACGTTGGAGCACAGACGGGGATCGCTTATGTGTCTTGGTCAACATGTCGTTGAAACCATGGCTTTATAGCCTTAAACATGCGGATAAACCCACAGTGTATTGCAATTGTTACCCTCTGGTAATTTAACATAGCTATTGAAAATGGCCATTTATAGTTGATTTTCCCATTAAACATGGTGATTTTCCATAGCTTTGTTAGTTTACCAGAGGGTATGTTGAATCTTATGATAAATTGATAAACCACGGGATTTCGGGGTTCTAGATGAAGGAAGACCACCCTTTAGATCTAGCGGCTGGCGCGGCTTGCTTAAAGTAATTGGAGGCATTGATAATTATTTATATCGAAAAAGATGGAACTGCAGATGGTTGATCACAATTGCCACTGGTATCAGTAAGAACAGGGACCCTAGTCATCATCATGTTGCTCCTGAACATTGAACACATCCGGCCCCATCAGAAAGTGCCCAATTGTACACTGGTCAGCTGAAATCTCCATTGCTTCTACCCAGGACAGCAGCGGTTTTTCATCCTCAGCGTTGACCTAAGAGACTTGAAGTTAGACTTGAAATCCAGGAGCAGAAGTTGCTCTTACCATGGCTACCAGGTCCCATGTTTGTTCCCCAAAAAGATCACATTGAAATTCACTGGCTACAGCCCTGTCAGGCACCTGAGTGCGTCAGGCTGTTCTCCAGCATGTACGAATACCAGGCCCGCGGCTGTAGGATGGAATGGGATGGAGAATTGTTGTTGTCTGATGTGCTCTGGCCATAGATGGATAGAATTCATAAAACAGCTAATTAATTACTGTAGTTTGATGTTTGGAAGATCTTGGAAGCCCTGATATGCAACGCCCGGTACCCAACTCAGCCGTTTGTCTAAGGTGTCTTATGTACAGCGGCAAGCATTTCTTTTCTTCTCGACCGTCATCGGCTGGACTGTCTTTAACGTTGCCAGTGCCTCAAGGCTGTTCGCTTGCAGGACTGGAAGACTAATCATCAACAAAAACACCATAGGATGGTCTGACAACCTTGGCATACATTTGATATAAATTGGATGGTTTGACCCACATGTTCAATCACAGGTCGTATGCGTGTACATATCTATATAGTCTGTATATATATAATATATGATATGTAGATACAGGCATACATAGATAACACAGAGACATAGAAGTACGAATACATTGTATCGCACTATATATATACATATATATATACATATATATATATACATGTATATGTATATATATATATATACATGTATATGTATACATATACATATAGATGTATACATACATATACTCGTACATATACATACGTATACATACATATACGTGTATATATATATATATCATATATACATACATATATACACATATATATATACATATATATATACATATATACATATATATACATATATATATACATATATATATATACATATATATATACATATATATATATATATACATATATATACATATATATACATATACATATATATACACATATACATATATATATATATACATATATATATATATACATACATATATATATACATACATATATATATATATATGTAGAGCACATATGTAATTCCCCAAAATGATGTCCCATTGTGTCGCCATGGCGGGTCTGTTTGGCTGTCCCAGGCTGTGTTGCACCGGAAAGTCCCTGCCACTGGAGCGGTGGGCTTTTGGCATGTCTTACTGCAAGATTTGATGATGGCATCGCTGGTGAAAAAGGTATTTTTTTGGTTGATGATTATAGGGGTTCCATGGGGGTTTCACCATAATTTCTAGGGATTTCAAGCAAAAAATATCAGGAGATCATTGATAAATCATGATAAATCCAATATATTGGGGATTTTCATCATCCGTGTATGATGGAATGACAGAGAGTTTTGAAGACCGCTTAATTGAGCCATCAAAAACACAACTGTTCTTTGATGAGTATAGGGGGCTTATACTATATGGTTTGTTGTGGGTCATTACAACCCATAATAGGGATACCTATCAAGCAATCGGTATGATGGGATGGGATAGGGGCATGTTTAATGGCTTAAGTATTGTTTGCCATTCGATTTTCTGTTGCTATTCAGAGTTAATGTCAAAGCATATTTGGCTATTATTATATTGCGTTTTATTATTCGGTTGTTGCTTGCGGTCATGATGATCGACCAGGTACTGCTTGCTGGCTCCGAAGTGAGCGCTGTTTGCTGCAATCGACAGGTGCGGCCCGGTTTGCCGAGTTAGCTACCGTCAGTGCTGACGTCAGTGCTGACGCCCTATGTTGGTATCGCAGAACCTGCGGTCAGGGCCGACCAGGAGGAGGAGATGGATTGGCATCCAACATGGAGAGCAAGGACATCACTGGGATGGGTCGACCCATGGAACATCATGGAACCATGTTTTGGAGGCTGAACATCTTCCAGATTTTTGGTGTGAAAACCAAAGTGTCAGAGTTTTGACTGATACCTATTTAAGCCTATTTAGTACAATATCAGCTTCTGCTAGTTTTTTAATATATGTGCGGGACAGGACTGCGTGGAACGTTGACCGAAGACCATGCCAAGCATGTTACATTGATGTGTCCTTGTGAGGGGCACCCAGCACCGAACATTGAGCTGTCTCCAGGAGGTGATTCTTTGGTGCGAAGAGCCTTGTCTGCAAGACATCCAGCCTGTTTTCCTGTTTTAGAGATGAACACGCCTGCAGGTATTCAGGCAATCTCGAACATAAACCATGACGTCCTAACTGCCATCAGACATCTGCCAGAATCTCCATGTTGGTTTTCCCTTAAAAAAGAGGGAATACCATGGGAATACCATCATATCATGGCCTTCAGAATGGGGAAAACATACGGCCATGTTGGAGGTGCTGGGCACCCTGGCCTGGCGGCCTGCTCCGGTGGACCTGGCGATGGTTTTTCTGGAAACTTCCATGAAAATCCTCCAGAAGCGTATTTTTTGTGGATCTGCTGTTTGACATGTGGTAATGAATGATAATGGTCTGGTTTATGATATACATGATACATTTTTAAAAATGAGTTTGAAATACTGGGGGAAGCTTGAGATGTAAGTGATGTAATTGACCAGTTGATACCTGTGAAACTGCACCAAGATTCGGCCAGGGCACGGAGGATGCTGAGCGAAAGCTGGTGGCCAGGTGTTTGAACCAGGACCCTTCACAAAGTGCAGGAGCCAGGGCAGGCAGGGCAGCCAGGGCGACATGGATCAGACATGGACGTTTCCGGCGCTTGTTCCATGGGCCTTCAGGAGGATTGCTAGACCTTCCAGCTGAAGGTGAAGCGCAATCTAACAACGTACAAGGTTCGACCGCTTTTTGGATTTCAATAAGTTCTGGTTTGCATTCTCTCTCTCTCTCTCTCTCCCCCTCTCTCTCTCTCTCTCCCTCTCTTTCTCTATGTCTCTTAAGTCCCTTAATCCCTGTTGTTTATACACCATTTGGATATGTTGGATGAGAAATGCCAAGCCGCTTCCAATGTCGATGTGGCAGGCAAAGATCTCCTGGCCTGGAGGGAAAACATTTTCCTGCCCGTACTGTTCAAGCAGAGGGGCAGCTTTATTCAGTTTGTGCCCTGAACTGCCGGAAAACAGCAGTCCCTGTGTGGATGCGAGGTTCAAACCACCACCACCACCACCACCAGCAGCAGCAGCAACAACAACAACAACAACAGCAACAACCACATCAGAAACATATGAACATCAACAGAAGGACAGTGCCAATCTGAGCACATGTTTTGTGGTGATCACCGAGTGACATCAAGTGTGCTTGTCTGGTGAAAGACCTTGGTACTGCTTTTAAATTTGTCAATGCAGCAGAGGTACTGTACGACTTGGATCCTGTCAAGAAGCCTATTGCCTTTGCTTCCATCACCCTCTCGCAGGCCACGTGCAAGGACTCTCATGTCGCGGGTTTGTTCTTAAGACATGTTTATTTTTTTACATCCAAACATGGCACATAGAATGCAAATAGCAATTCTAGGAATGGCAATAAATCATGGGATTAAATGGACGACCCATGACGACTCTGTTTTCAGACAAAGCCATGCACTCGTGACTCATCAAATCTCATCAATACCTGCATGTTTTTCACACCATCTCAGACCTTGTCAGGTTGCTGTTGAGTGCTTAATTAACGAGAAGCTTTGCTGCTTACGCATCAATTCTGCTGTTTCAGGCTCTTCGCTCGAAGGGAGACTTGCCAGCACATTTATCACGACTTGAGATTGGCATGTGCCACTGAATGTTTTAACTTCACACTTGTCCACCTGGTCTTGAAAAACGTGCACTGCGTACATCGAGGGCTGTTTGTTCTCTAGGAAAGTCATCGTAGTACATTGCGTACTTCGTCTGAGCAGTTTGTTTTTGGTCTCATTGCGCATCCCTCACAGAAATCGTCTGTTCATGTCACACCAGTCACACCAGCATCAAGGTGAGCAAAGGATGAAACTCCAACCGTTGGAGGGTGCCAAAGGTTCTTGGCCAAAGGCAGGGTGCGCTGGACGAACCCAGCCATCCAGGCTGCAGAATGCCATGGGTTTTTGAAACTCACAGAGGTTCCAGGGCGCTTCATGATTGCCAGGATGGATCAGGATGCAAAGGGTACTAGTATATACTAGTACACATCATTATTATTATCATCAGAACTATAGTATTATAATGTATTATATAAATTATATGTATATATATATACAATTATATATATATATACACTGTGTATATATATAATATCTATAAATACTTCTGATCATTGAATCATTTATGTAAAGTATTGAGTATAATTCTATACACTACAATATAATACATTATAATACATTATCGTTTTTTCTGTATATTAAATAGTGTGTAAACATGAATTCATACCCGGCCAGAGGCCCTTGGTCGTGTTTGTACCGTCTCCAGGCTGCGTCAGGCTGTTTGCCTTGGCGGCTTTCACCGCAGATCGTCGTGAAATTTCGGTTGGAACCTGAAAAACAAGAGGGGACATTGTAAACTGAAACTGGACGCTGGCTCTTGGGGTTGTAGTCTTGTAAACAGAGCATTTTGTCGGAGTATTCCTTGGGCAATACGACGTGCTTGAATCCCCAGACAACACTTTGATTGTCCATTTGCAACGCAAATGACTGGAACTGATCCAGTAGATGAGGTACATAGAACCGCAGAAAGCGCTTGAGATCAAAGATACAGCCGCAGCCTCTGCGTCATATGAATCATATGCCTATAGCTGAATGCCAATTGCGGCGATTGCATAGTCTATTCTTTAATAGGCTTCATCTATGCGTATCTATGCGTCATGAAGTGGCAGATATGGATATATTCAGAATCAGAGTTCACATTCGGAGGTGTTTGGTGTGATTGCTCTTCAGGCAAAGTATCGGCTTCAATTTATGGAAGAAGAGATCAAAAAAGCTGAAGAGCAATTGGTGATCCCGGCTGGCTTGGATTCAACTGATGGTGGGAAGCAGGATCGTGGAGAATGGAGTATGAACCCATTATGTGTCTCTATGGCAATTCTTGAAGTAGCATAAAACAAACTATAGCCATCAGGGCCCATACCAAATCAACCTTTCGAATTGATTCTCATTGCATTTGGTTTACGGAAATTTCACAGGACCCCCCTACAACTGTTGGTAAACAACACATTAAAAACATGGATTCCTGTAGATTTTCCACCAATCCATTGAGATTCATTGCTGGTGCCAGGATGGCTTGCGAAAGCAGAAGACCATCCTTGATGACCAGGGAGAGGCCGGACAGAGCTGAGCTGACCTGCAGCCGGAAAAAGTGTTGCTGTGCTGCAGGGATGGAGCCCTACTAGTTAATTATAACTTATAAATACTTATAACATGTTATAACAACTGGGTTAACAACAAAGCTGCTGCAGGTGGTGCAACCAACATTATTGTATAGTTTAGTAATGGGCGGAACGGATTTGCGCCGAGAAGAATCCTGACATGGAAAACGTATGAACAAATCTTGCGAACGCACAACAAGCACAGGCGATACCGGCGACAACAACTTCGGTCTTTTTTGTCGACAAATAAAATCCGTGTAGCAACGTGGCTTAGCTTGCTGGCTGCTGAACCAGGCTGAGGGGACCAAAAGCAACTGCACGCAAATCGGGAAGTCCTTGTCCATATAAAATTCTGGAGAAAGGAATGAGAAAGGATGATTCCCCCTGCGTAAGGCAAGCCCCCGAAGTGGAGCCCGTGTCCTCGGCATTTGATTTTTTTTTGTTCTTTCAAAAAAGAAGCAAACAAGCACGCTTTGCGCAGTTGCACAACAGTTTGCTGATTCGTCAAGGTATGAACACTGGACTATCAAAGCCACAAACAACACAGTTTCGCAGCCGCAAAGCCAACTTGTTTTTTGCGCCGGTCACAGCTCGGTCGAGCGAGCGCCTTCCCAATCGCCGCACTGCGCTGTTTAGAGGAGCTGTGCGCCCTGGTAACTTCGGGTGAGGGCGAGATGTTAGTGAAATGATCGACTTGGAGAAGTGAGACGTCATAATGTATACGTGCTGGCGTTTGACAATTTGAACAATTTGAACAATTTGAACCTCAAAGATGACAACGCCCCACAACAAAACGCAGCATGGTCGGTCAAAAAGACTCAAGCCCAAGATTCCCCACAGAACAGTGAGGAACTATTTGGAAACACAAGAAAACACAAATACCCAGCAATCACTGCAGTGAGTTGAGCAACGCGTGGAACTTTGACATTTCCTCTTCGTCGTACAGATGCAATCAAGGACAACGCACAACTCACCGTCAATGATATGAGGCGCAGCAACTGACGCACCAACCATTTTTACATTTTCCGACGTGTATGAAAAGCTCCCCCATAGTTCCCAAAGACTGAACAACGATCCTTATGATCTAGACAACACATTAAAACATGTTAAAACCAGGCCTTTTCAGCAGAAAACATCCTCGGAGTTTGTTTCGCGTATCGCTTATAGTAACCCGCCTGCTAAGCACGCCTCCACAATTCCTGTGCGCTAATTCCATGAGAGACCTATAGGGATGTCTAGGGTGCCATAACATCACCGCGTTTGGCGCCGTTCAGCTGGAAGAGCAGGGCAATACTCCTGTTCTGTTGCGACATCGATGACTAGTACTGCTCTTGAAGCAGGAGATTACCTACACAGACCTACACATTCTCCATGTAATTGCTAAGTGACCAGCTTTGAAGCTAGCAAGAACACCCAAAGCTGACCTGACTTAAATGCTGGGGAGAGAATGCTACCATTTCATTGAGGCTGTCAGTAGGATGCAAAATAACAGCTGATGGTCTGCAGTCCTAGACCTAGAGTTTTGAACTTCTTCTGGCATTGCGCCCTCAATAGCATGCGACTGTGGGAGGCCTCTTCTGTTTCTCTGGCATGGTTTCGATAGCATTGTTTGTTGGAAAGATCACATGGGCACCAAACAATGCATTGCATCATCTGCTTACATTATATAAACCGGCCAGTACCACGCAGCATCACTTCGACGATAAACTGACCCTAAAAAACGGGGCGCAGTAGAATTCTTCCCGAGGACTGCCGACTTAATATTCACGTCGCTTCGCGACGGCAACCGCCCGCACCGCATCGTTGGGCTCACACAGCAGAGATATATCTATATATATAAAGATCATATATGTACATATCGAGTGAACGGTCCACACTGTTAATGATGTCAGCCATTGTTCTCTTCTACTGCCATTGTTCTCTTCTATTGCCGTCGCTCCGCGACAAGAACCCCTGTGCGGCCGCCACGGTTTGAACGATGTTGTTCTCACACCTTCGCGACCGCTCGTAACTGCCAATGATGTCGGCCATTGAGACCAAAAACATCCGAAAGTACTGATTGTCGGAAAAAAAAAACGCGAAGAATTTGATAGCCATGTATAGCGGACCAACGCAGTTCAAAAAATAACGAAAAACATGAAAAAACGGCGAAATTGCTGTTATTTACAGTGTTTTTGCGCGGTGAGAAGCAGAAACCACTGCAAATACCATGGTTTTTGAGGGTCAGGTGGCCAAAAACACTGTAATTTACAGTGTTTTTTTAACCAACGTCAAAAAACACTGGTATTTACGATGTTTTCATTCACACCGTAACATAAAACAGCGTAATTTACGAGGTTTTTGGAAGTTTTGAAGCTAGCCGTCAAGCATGCAGAAAACAGAAAAACACTGTAAAAACCAGTGTTTCTGCTATCACAAAACGACGAAAATCAGTCCGAAAACGGGTCCAAAAACTCAAAAATCCGCCTCCGGGCCTTTCACCTGCGGAACCGCAAAAAAAGATGTTGCAAACCAAAAAATTGAGGTCAAAAAGTTGAAAAACACGGGGTTTTTCACTTTTCGCTTGCCGATTTTGGACGGGCGCGTTCACGAACAGGTGTCTTCCGTACTGTTTTTTACAGTGTTTTTTGAAGGCGAGCGTCACGACCTATCAAAAACAGGAGGTTTTGGCCGAATAATGGCCCCCCCCCCCGTGGCTTGGACGGCTCTGGCCTATGTGACGCTGTCCTTTGTGCGCGATGTGCCACGTGTCCACATGCTCAGACGGCATCATTGTCGTGGACAAGAAAGTATCGTTGAAGTCACGTTGTCCAGTATGCTGCGTCGATCATGGTGCGCAGGATGCGCGTGGTTCGCGTGGTCTGCGTGGTGGGCGCCCGTGGTGGGTGGGCGTTGCCCGCGGGGTGCGCGTTGCCCTTGTGGTGCGCGTGGTGCGCGTGGTCCGCGTGGTGCTGGTGGGTGCGGTGGTTGGTGCGCGTCGTGGGTGCGCGTGGTGGGTGCGCGTGCTGCGTGCGTGTGGTGCGTGCGCGTGGTGCGCGTGGTCCGCGTGGTGCGCGCGTGGTCCGCGTGGTGCGCGTGGTCCGCGTGGTCCGCGTGGTCCGCGTGGTCCGTCGTGGTGCGCGCGGGGTCCGCGTGGGTGGCGAGTGGTCCTCGTTGTGCGCAGTGGTCCGCGGGGGTCCTCTCTGTCTCGGTTCGCGGTTTCTGCGGGTCTTTTCCTCTTGTTCCTCGTGTTCCTCGTGGTTGCGCGGGTGCGCGGGGCCGCGTGGTGCGCGGGTCCGCGCGGTCCCGCGCGGTCCGCGTGGTTGCGGCCCCGTGTCCGCGTGGTTCGAGTGGTGCGCGTGGTGCGCGTGTGCTGCGGGTTGCGCGTGGTGCGCGTGTGCGCTGGTGCGCTGTGGCGCGCGTGGCGCGCGTGGTGCGCGTGGGCGGCGCATTGTGCGCGCTTTGCTCGCGTTGCTCGTGGGTGCGCGTGGTGCGCTTGGTGCGCGGGGTGGTGCGCGTGGTGCGCAGTTGGTGCCGTTGTCCGCGTGGCGCGCGGTGGCGCGCTGGTCCGCGTGGTCCGCGCGCGCGGTGCGCGCGGTCCGCGTGGTCTGCGTGGTGCGTCTGGTATATACGCGTGGTGCGCGTGGTGCGCGTGGTGCGCGCGGTGCACGTGGTCCGCGTGGTCCGCGTGGTCCGCGTGGTGCGTGTGGTGCGCATGGTGCGCGTGGTCCGCGTGGTCCGCGTGGTGCGCGTGGTGCGCATCGTCCGCGTAGCGCGCGTGGCGCGCGTGGTCCGGGACGTTTGGTCCGAACGTTGTTTGCACGTCCCGCGTGGTGAGGCCTAGTGCGCCAGGGTCCGCGTGGTGATGATGATGATGATTATGAATGAGGATGATTGATGATGATGGTGCTGGTGATGATGAATGGTGATGTGAGGGTTTGGTGATGATGATGATGGATGATGAGTTGTGGTTATGTGTGATATGTGATGCATGATGGTGGGTGGGCAGCTGAAGTAGTTAAAGACAAGTAAGAATAAGGAGAATGCTGAAAAGTGGGTGTGAATACACAAAAAACAAAAAAAAATAGTTTTTTTAGTATCTTTTTTTTTCGCATTTTGGGATTTTTTTTTGGATTTCTTCTTGGCTGTACCATTTGCCTAGTGTTTTGCAACGGTTTGGAACTTGAATTTGTCTTTGCATGTATTTTTTGCTACCAACATTTGGGCATGTTCACCTTCCATTTTGCATGATTTTACTACATGTGGGCATGTTCACCTTCCATTTTGTATGGTATTTGCCACATTTTGGCATGTTCCCCTTCCATTTTGCATGGGATTTCCTACATGTGGGCATGTTCACCTTCCATTTTGTATGGTATTTGCCACATTTTGGCATGTTCACCTTCCATTTTGCATGGGATGTTCTACATGTGAGCATGTTCACCCAAATATTTACAGATGCAGAAGCTTGGGATTAGATAAAAGCGGGTGGGGGGGATTGAGGGAGGGCGCTAGCTATCTATCCAGCTAGCTAGCTATCTAGCTATCTATCTAGCAAGCTAGCTATCTATCTAGCAAGTTATCTATCTATCTATCTATCTACCTATCTAGCTAGCTATCTTGCTAGCTATCTATCTACCTATCTAGCTATCTAGCTAACTATCTATCTAGCTATCTAGCTTTCTATCTATCCAGCTATCTATCTATCTAGCCATCCAGCTATCTAGCTATCGAGCTATCTAGCTAACTATCTATCTAGCTATCTAGTTATCTAGCTTTCTATCTATCTAGCTATCTATCTATTTAGCCATCCAGCTGTCTATCCAGCTATCTAGCTAACGAGCTATCTATCTAGCTATCTATCTATCTGGCTAACTATCTGCCTATCTATTTAGCTATCTATCTATCTATCTAGCTATCTATCTAGCTACCTCTTTATCTATCTAGCTAGCTATCTATCTAGCTATCTATCTATCTAGCTATCTATCTAGCCATCTATCTATCCAGGTATCTAGCTATCTATCTCTCTAGCTATCTATCTATCTAGCTGGCTATCTATCTATCTAGCTATCTATCTACCAAGCTATCTATCTATCCAGCTATCTATCTATCTATCTATCTGTCTATCTATCTATCTATCTATCTATCTATCTATCACATGTAATCCTGTCAGCTTTCCAGAGAAGGTTAGTTCGCAAAAACCAACTAATGTAACTTGGGTTTAAGTTTAAATAAAAAAAAAAAGCGGGAGGGGGGGATTGGGGGAAGGGCGCAGCGCCTCCCCCCAAAGCAGAATGCAAGCACCTCTTCTCACATGTTACGTTGCAAGTTTTCAAGAGAAGGTTGGTCATGTGATACTCAGGGATGTAAATACTGTGCAAAATGCATCTTACATGAAAATCAAGTATTTAAAGCAGGCAAAGCAAAAAAAAACAGAGAAGCAAAAAAGCAGAGAAGCAAAGAAACAGGAAACGCACAAAAACAAAACAGCAGAAAGGCAAAGAAGCAGGAAAAGCAGAAAAGCAGAGAAGCAGGAAAAGCAGGAAAAGCAGAGAAGCAAAGAAACAGGAAAAACAGAAAAGCAAAAAAGCAGAAAAGCAGAGAAGCAGAGAGGCAGGAGAAGCAGAAAAGCAAAAAAGCAGAAAAGGCGAGAAGCAGGAGAAGCAGGAGAAGCAGAAAAGCAAAAAAGCAGAAAAGCAGAGAAGCAGGAAAAGCAGGAAAAGAAGGAAAGCAGAGAAGCAGGAAAAGCAGGAAAAGCAGAGAAGCAGGAATCCAAAAATAATTCCTAAACCTGATCAAAAAAAAATCCTAAAATAATTAGCCCTCCCTGAAAAGTCATCTTGATGAATTGTTAGAAGTTGTTTGGGTACAAAACATGTTCTTAGGAGCAATTGGAAACTGAATCAAAGACACGTATTCCTTTGCAGTCAGTCCTAGAGCAGGGCCATGGAGAGCCAGTGTTGAAGAGAATTGTTGTACTGTTTGGCATGCTTTCTTCTGACTCTGAGAAGGAAATTATGGAGGGGCACGTGCAAAATAGATCAGTCTGGTGGTTCTCCTGGCTGAATCTACAGTTCGTGGCATGCTGATACCGGTCAGCGGTGTTTCCGTCGCAATGGAAAAGAATTGGGATCTTGTTGCCAAACACCTTTCAATCTTGTATTGAGCGCCGGCTTCAGCGGTTTTTTCCCTATCTGCAAGAGGCATCCTTGACCGTTGATTTCGGTAGGGACTGTTCTTCGATCAGCTGTGGACCGGCTTGCTACTTAAGCGAAGATTGGTTTGATCTTCGAACTCTTGCACAATCGCATCTTCTGTTCCTGGCACCGTTTCTGGCCCAGGCACTGCAATAACTCCATCGAAAATCGGGCATACCAAGATCCATCCGTGTTCATTCAAAAGAGAAACAAGGAGCCGCGTGGCTGCATCCTCTTTATGAAACAACAGAAATGCCATGGTTGATGTTTCAGGGCGCTGACGTTCCGCTCGGACCATTTCATCCAAGACATGTGGATGTGATCGGCAAAGGGTTTCTCGCACCAGCTTAGATTCAGCAGCTAATCCTGCAGGACCGGCTACACGAGGGATAGCATGTAGGCACTCATAGGAACAGAAAAAACACTGTCGTTGCAAATATACGCTTTGTCATGTTGCTTGACTTTGAATGTTATACCGTGGCTGAGAAGATTTTTTCCACTTTTTTTCTGCTGGACCAAAATGTTTTGTGATATATGTAAATTTGTCGTCAATCTGCAAAAAGTAAAGGTTGGTAATCCCCGAGACATGACTGTGAATTGACTAGAAGTTTAGTGCTCCATGAGTCGAATGGTTGATTTTGAACTGTTTTATGAAGGTGGATAATGGAGTTTACGAGACATCTTCATTCGCGAAAAAGGAACATTTGCCGATCTGGGAAAAGGAATTTGGTACATATGGCTTTGTTTGACTTGTCAAAAAAAATAATGTTATGTTATTTGGGTTAACATAATCAGTATATGTAACCAAATTTTGTTATTCAATTTCGTGCCCTTTGCAGCAGCTATCTTGTATATGGTACATTGTGACTCCTGCTAGAAAAATTCTTTTCACAGTTTGGCCACGGTCTCCTTGGAGGAATGGCAAAGTGCCAGCTGCAGCATCACCAACAGGGAGGGCAAAGCCGAATGTAGCTTTCATCAAAACTGTCTTGGCGTCAGCAAGATCAAGTCCATGGTACTCTGCAACGGCTTGTCGCCAAGCTTGTGTGTGATCGCTGTACTTGCGAAGGCACGGTGTCAGAAGCCCCGCATCTTTTGCAACTTGTAGCATGAGGTTGACAATAGCAGTGCGCTGATCGACTCCAGCGATCCGATTGGGCAAGCCGCTGTTCTGGCTGAACGTGAAAGTGCAGGCATGGAGATATGCGGGAAGAAGTGTCTCCCCAAAGGTTCGCTTCCCACCATCTTTTTCTGTCCGACCTGAGGTGCGCGTAGCTTCTATTGGGTGCATACATGAGTGTTTGTGCGCGCGATGGTTTCGAATATTTCACCGTGCTGTGTCTTCAGTGTGTTTGCGGGGAGCTATCTGCAAGCTTTGATTCAATTTGCATGTGTTCTTTGCATTTGGGCTCCAGCCTGAATGATGAAAAGAGATGAAACGAGTTCAATCCGAGCTATGAAGATTGATGTTAGCATTAGTTTCTATCTGTGGAGATTTGTACATGTTTAGCGGGAAGCATTCGACAGCCGGAGACCATCATCACTGAATTGGATGGATGCTGGCAGTACAAAACATCAAAGTCTTTGCATGTGGTGTTATCTGGAAGTATGCCTAGATGCGCTCTGAAGATGTCTCTCTTTTTTTATCTATCGCCTCGACGAAGTCGCCTTTGCTTCTTTTTGGTGAAAATGGTTCGCTTCACACAACCTTTCTTCCTGCGGGGTTTTTGTCTGAGATGGCGAACCCAACGTTCACGATGGATTGCCGCTCTTTGCACATACGAGGTGGCAGCTGCTGCATTGTGTGCATGGACTGGCCGTCGTAGCACACGACGAGATCTCACCATTTCCAAGTCTTCATTGCCAAATGGCAAGCAAAAGGAAGAAGAAGGGAGCAGAAGATATCCTTGTAACAAAGCTTGGATTTGTCCTTGCGACCTTTGGGCTACAGTGATCCCAAAGGCTGCGCTGTGGTGAGCCAAGAGCTTAGCCATAGTGAAGCTCTGGAGCACAACCTGTGTGCTCTCCGCGTGTTGCTGTACGACGGTTCTTTGAGATGTGTTGAACTGTGCGTGGAGCGCTTCATTGGCAGCAGTTCCAAAGGAAAACAAAACTCTTTGTTCCTGCGTCAAAGAGAAAACAGCCATATTTCCATTTTGCAGGTATCTGAAATGACTGTACGCACTGCCGTTGATGAGAATTTGCTTCAGAGTCTTTCCTCTTCCATTCGTTTTCTTCATTTGATCTGCGTATTTCAAAGTGATGTCAAAAATGTCATGCACGTACTGCTGATGATTTTGATATGGTTCTTGCGTGTATTCCTCGTAGTTTCGATCTGGATGCACTGGCTGTTGCCGCTTGCCCGGCCACTGTCCTCCATAGCATGGTGGTTCAATACAGAAGCTGATTCTGTGATATATCCACACAGATAAATAACGATAAAGATTATATATATATATATAGATAGATGTATATATATATATGTATATAAATATATATATATATGTATATAAATATATATATATATGTAGGAAAATATATACCAGTAGTACCGCACAAGGCGGTGGCGGAAGTTTCAGAATAGGAAACCTATAGGAGACGTTGGTTGTTGTGAATCACGGATGGCAGAGCGAATCCACTGATTGACCGAAAAGTGGTTGGAGTTGTGTTTGCTGGAGTGGTTGCAATGGTTGCAGTGGTCACCTCACCCACAACTGCTGGATGTAGTGTGATGTACTGCAACTGTAGTTGTAGTTGTAGCGTAGTGGAGTTGTAGTTGTGGTGTAATGTAATTAGTGTAGTGTAGTTGCAGTCATATAGTTGTAGCTGTAGTTGTTGTGTAGTTGTAGTTGTTGTGTAGTGTAGTTGTAGTTGTTGTAGTTGTAGTTGTTGTAGTTGTTGTTGTTGTTGCTGTTGTTGTAGTTGCAGTTGTAGTAGTAGTAGTTGTTGTTGTTGTAGCTGTAGTTGTTATAGTTCTAGTTGTAGTTGTTGTGTAGTTGTAGTTCTAGTTGTAGTTGTAGTTGTTGTTGTTGTTGCTGTTGTTGTTGTTGTAGCTGTAGTTGTTGTAGCTGTAGTTCTAGTTGTAGTTGTAGTTGTTGTGTAGTTGTAGTTGTTGTAGTTGTAGTTGTTGTTGTTGTTGTTGTTGTTGCTGTTGTGTAGTTAGGGTAGTTAGTAGTGTTGTTGTTGTAGTTAGTTAGTTATAGTTAGTTAGTGTGTGTAGTTGTAGTTGTTGTTGTTGTTGCTGTTGTTGTTGTTGTAGCTGTAGTTGTTGTAGCTGTAGTTCTAGTTGTAGTTGTAGTTGTTGTGTAGTTGTAGTTGTTGTAGTTGTAGTTGTTGTTGTTGTTGTTGTTGCTGTTGCTGTTGTCGTCGAAGTTAGGGTAGTTAAGTTAGTGAAATTAGTTAAGTTAGTCAAGTTAGTTAAGTTAATCAGTGTGTACTTTTTCGACATCTTAACGTCAAAAAAGGCTCAAAACCCTCAGTTTGTTACACTTTTGACTTCGAAATGTGCTTCGCGCCACAACAGCGTGCACTTTTTCGACATCTGAACTTCCAAAAGTGGTCCGACAATGGTGTGCTTTGTACATTTTGACTTGGAAATGTGTGTGCTTCGCGCCACAACGGCGTGCACTTTTTCGACATCGCAACTTCCAAAAGTGGTCCGAGACCGCCAGGTTTTAACACTTTTGACTTCAAAATGTGCTTCGCGCCACAACGGCGTGCACTTTTTTGACATCTCAACTTCCAAAAGTGGTCCGAGAAGGGTGTGTTTTGTACATTTTGACTTCAAAATGTGCTTCGCGCCACAACGGTGTGCACTTTTTCGACATCTCAACTTCCAAAAGTGGTCCGAACCTGGTGTGTTTTGGACATTTTGACTTGGAAATGTGCTTCGCGCCACAACGGCGTGCATTTTTTCATCTCTTATCTGGCCAGCTGGCTCCGCACCCGCCGCTGTAGCGAGCCTACTGTGCGAGCCTCCGGAGCCACAAATGATTGGAAAAAGACAGTGTTTCGCGACTTTCCTACCTTTTCGCGCATCTGCATCTTCTTTCTTCTGACTCTTTCTCTTCTCTGATCTTCTCTCTTCTAATCTTTCTCTTCTCTCTCCCTCTGCCCTGCTCTGCTTTTCATCTGTCCATATTGTCGGAAGTTTGACTTCTAAACTTCCTTCGATAATTTTGTAGATATGTATGTAATTATGTAAATATATATATATATACAACCTCTTCATATATATATATATATATATGCATAAGTAGATATGTAATATATATATATATATGTTCAAACATGTGTATAATATATATATATAATATATATATATAATTATATATACATATATATATATGATTGTGAGTATGAATATATATATACACACATGCGCAAACAAATAAATGAATATATATATATATATACAGTCAACATATGTATAGAGAGAGAGAGAGGAAGAATCTCGATAACCTTAGGTTCGAGGAATGGACACCGACAAATTTGGAAAGGTTCCATTGCGTACCACACGTGTGTAGAAAAGATATGGCAAACTTGGGGGGTATCGCTTGCAGGAGAAATAATGATCTACTTGATTCCAGAGCGGTGTTGATCAGGCACCTTCGCTGCAGGACTTTGAGGTATCTGAGGGGATGCTACTGGAAGAGGCGCTTTGCAAATCTCTTTTTCCCTACCGCCGGCATGGCCAGCCAGCTTGTTGGCCAGCTAGCCCACACAGCCACAAGAGCTCGCCAGTGGGGAGATAAAGTCAGCGGAGAGGCAATATAAATGGCGCAACTTTAATTCGAGGGTCAATGGAATCATGCAAGGCAAGGATGTGGTGAGTTAGTGAAACAAACGTGTTTATAGGGACTTCTCTTCCGCTTCTGCAGATCGCCTTCTCTGCGGACTGCTGCATGGATATCAAGAAGAACTAAGAAGAACGCTTTCTGAGGAGCACGTGCTCTTCTGGGCCCAAATCTGGTTCACAAACTCCGTTAGAAATCAATGTTCAAAATGACATTATCTGGAAAGAGTTATCTCTAAATTCGGATAGGTCCCAGTGCTTATACCTTGTGTATTCCACAAGTTCATCAGGAGTTTCCGTATATGAGTACGATGCGCAAATCACGAAAGGAACGAACAACTTGAACGGTGTCTGCGAAACCATTTCAGAGATCTTTAGAAAATGTCATGTTTGAACTGTCAACCGTTTTGAATGCGTGAAACTTGCACCCAGGTGGCAGAAATTTCTGCATTTTATAAACTCTTGCTCAACCAAAAGTGAGCAGACTCACAAACCCTCAAAAATCAAGAGACCCAACGGTGAACGGGGAGAGGGAACAGGGAACAAGTCGTCATATACCTAAGGTATAGAGAGGAGGGCAAGGATATAAGAAACAGGGTATTCTCATATCACATATGTCAACACATCACATACGCAAACCCCCGAACATATTGAAGACAGGGTAACCGTAATGTATATATATATGTATATATACATACAAAAAAATAAACAAAACCGTCATACGCAACTACGCCGAAAACGCAAATGAAATCAGCAATCAGAAAAACACACATCACGACAAACAAAGGTGATCATCCGTTTTGTTCGTTTCCATTTTGCGTTTCACTCGGACAATTCAGGACCAATCCCTTTCCTTTTTTCACGTGGGCAAAATATTCGATGGTTGGTTCAAAGGCAAACGTGGAGACTGGATGTCTCAGCAAGGCTCCAAATGAGCACGCCTCCACAAGGCTCCCAGCATAGGAGAGGAATTGTCATGGGTTATGAATCCTCACCTGGTCAGTTATATCAGCAGAATAGCTTCGACCTGTTCACATCGGTCAAGGTCCAGGCGATTCTGATCGTCTTGGAGGAAAGCCACAAAGAGTAACGTTAACTCCACGGCCTGGTTGAGCAGAGCAGTGGGAAAAAACATGTGCAGAATTGGTATGAACGGTTCGGGAAAAACGGTTGATGAGCCAAGTGCTCACATGACCAATTGTCAATGTCCCATATGGACTCAACGCCATGCATGATGACGAAATGGAGTTGACCAAGTGTCAACACAAAAATAACATACTATAGTATGTTATATATAGGAAGGAGAGAGATTAAGGGAGGGAGTGGCGCAAGCCAAGGGGGGGACAAAAACGATTGGCCAGGTGCCAACGAGGTCACTTGAGGGGAAACTGCAAACATTCACAAAGTTAAGCAGTGCCCAACAAGTGACAACAAACAACAAACCAACTGTTTGAAAGATCAGCTCTCCAAAACACAGGTTAAACAAATAACCAAGCAGACACTCTCGCCCTCCAGAGACTAGAAATGTTACCAGTTGTAACATGCCACACTGTTCCACCCTCACAACAGTTGGGTCAGAGTTTGGGGTTCAAGGTTTTTTTTTTTTGGTTGAGGTGGCACATGCCACACCTGCGAGTTGATAAGGTAACAAGGCTGGCGCCTAGTGAAACTTATAAACTCTTGCTCAACCAAAAGTGAGCAGACTCACAAACCCTCAAAAATCAAGAGACCCAACGGTGAACGGGGAGAGGGAACAGGGAACAAGTCGTCATATACCTAAGGTATAGAGAGGAGGGCAAGGATATAAGAAACAGGGTATTCTCATATCACATATGTCAACACATCACATACGCAAACCCCCGAACATATTGAAGACAGGGTAACCGTAATGTATATATATATATGTATATATACATACAAAAAAATAAACAAAACCGTCATACGCAACTACGCCGAAAACGCAAATGAAATCAGCAATCAGAAAAACACACATCACGACAAACAAAGGTGATCATCCGTTTTGTTCGTTTCCATTTTGCGTTTCACTCGGACAATTCAGGACCAATCCCTTTCCTTTTTTCACGTGGGCAAAATATTCGATGGTTGGTTCAAAGGCAAACGTGGAGACTGGATGTCTCAGCAAGGCTCCAAATGAGCACGCCTCCACAAGGCTCCCAGCATAGGAGAGGGATTGTCATGGGTTATGAATCCTCACCTGGTCAGTTATATCAGCAGCTCTCCCCATCTTACTATCTAATCTACAAATCAACAAGCGGGACATTCAACATCGGGCAGGTAGCCATGCGCCTCACCGCGCCAAGCTTCAACATCAAATCATGGCATGCCCTTGAGGGCTCATCAGCAGGGTTGCTCTGGCTTGGGACCCTAGTGAACCATGCCCAGGTTCTGGTTTTCTCCTCAAGCCTTTCCCAACAAAGCAAAATTTCACGTACATACTTTGAGCCCGACGTTCCCTTGATGCATGCATCCATTGAGCTGTTGTTGTCAATGAAATAAATGACCCTGGATCCACCAAGGCTGTCGGCCCACAACGAACGGGCTACCAGAATTGCATATAGTTCAACAAGACCAATGAAATGCGAAAAATTTGCGCCCCACTCCGCAATCAATGGATCGGGCACCGCACATGCAAAGTATTCGAACTTCCCATCGGCAGCAAAAACTCCACCAATGGTGTGCCCACTGCTTTCACTGGCGCCATCTGTGTAAACCAAAAACGGCTTCCTCTGATCACAACAAGGGACCTTCCGGGGCTCACCTGTTTCCAACCTGTTGATGAGAATCTCCAGGGACCCAATGGCAGGTGGGTCAAGAGCAATGCTGTCAGAATTTTTAATCGCTTGACGAAACTCATGCATTGCAATCCTACCTATGCGCCCCATGATCTGGGCGTCAGCAAACTGTATCCGCCCCAGGATGCGGCTGGCATCTTTGGACGTCAATGTACCAGTTGAAATGATCCCACGTACAGTGTTTGAAATCTCATCAACCCTGCTCGGCTTGTTCCGAATCAGCAGCCAGCCAGAAGAAGCATCCCCAGCATCAATCTCAACGCCAAGGACAGTCGCCTTCGGTTCGAAGGGCTTCAGCTTATGCTCGGCAAACTGGAATCCCAAAAGGTCCAAGAGGAGCTTGGCAACATCCATGGATGATTTGCCCAACGCCATAGGTGTGACCATTGGGAAATCGTCAAAATAATTTCCCCACAACAATCCAGCACTCAACCCAATGAAATGTACCAATCTGGATATGCGATTGAAGTGGACCACACTGGCCGTGGCCCCAAAGGGCAGAACATTTCCAATGAAGCATTTGCACAATCCATCAGATGGATCTTTAAGGGTGATGACGGACAAGCGCCTGCAGTCAGGTCTTATGGCAAATTGTTTGTATGCCGAAGATAAATCCAAGACCGATAGGAGCGGTTGCCCCGCACCACCCTCAAGGTAGGCCTGATTGACCTTCCCTTGCAGCAAGGTACCATCGCTTCGCCGGAATGAGACGTACCCCAGAGACAAGGATCGGGTGATGGCAGCTGTCACCCAGACCACCTGGTCTAACGTCCTCAAGTCCAACTTATCGGAGTATCCATAAGAATTATTAACTCTGTTTTCTGCGAAATCGTCAATGGGCCTAAGCTTCATTCTGTCACCTGATGATTGAAGGACTCCGAAGCGCCTAACCGGCAACCAAGGCTGTCCACCAAAGATGTCATGCACTTGTTCAACGGAATAAGGACCGGTCATCCAGTGATTGTTGCCTGCCTCTTCCATTGTAGCATCCCATAGAGGCTGGCTCTCAGCATCAATGTTTGAATTTTTTTCTTTACCAATCAAGGCAGGCCTGATGAACTTTGCATTTGCCCATAGCTCCCCTTCTGATGACTGTGGGGGGCGTGGTTCCAAACCAAAGATATTGGACGGGTCTTGGATCCCAATGAGCTTGAACCCTTCGTCAATCTCATCAAAAAGGTGAGTGTCAGGCCAGTCCAGGCTGTCCGCAATCTTTCGCAACAAAAGAAGCCTTTTCGGCGCGAGAACTCGTCCAACCTCAGGATCTAGGCGTTGTTTATGCTCTTTCTCTCGGGTGTCGAGTTCCTCTGCCCACTTCATCCAAAGTTTCAGCTTTGAAATCCTAAATTTGCAAACATCTGCAGGTGCAGTGGTTAAAATATAGAAAAGCACATCAAGCATCTGGTCTGGGACCGCATGGAAGTTGTCAAAAGGATGTTGCAGCATCAAGGATTTCTCAACCCACTGAATGGGTGATCGGTAAATTCCAAATTTCAACACAAAGCTGGTCTCGCCTTCCCCCCGTTTAGAAAAACTGAGCAGCTTTGATCCCTCGGGGACATGCTGAAAACAGGCTGTCAAGCATCCCTTGGTGTTTGTGGCAGGCATGGAACTGGCTACAACTGTTGAAAAGGCCGCAAACTCTGAAATCAAAGGTGGCATACGACGGCCGGCTGGTTGCTTCTGCAGGGCTATCATACCCTTATGGTTGATGGCAACGCTGTGATGGTCTGCCTCGAGCTTCTGCGGAAAAAGGTTCAGGGCATTTTGAACCACAGATACAACTTGAAGACAGAGTTGCTTAGTGTAGGCAGCTTCATCACTAGTGGCATATTTAAACGTTCCATCAGGTTGCCTGGTGCGCCCAAACGGCGCATGCTCATGATTACCGGGGCAAGTAGCCTCGATTCCAGTCATCTCAGGCATTGTTGAAAGGAAAGATCGTTTTCATTTACGAGTGGATCCCCAGGCACAAGTGTCATAATTGTAAAATCTGCAGGGCGTATTGGCCATCAGGTCAACGAAGCATGGGATCATCCACAAGTAACTGGATGTGGGGTTTTCCACACTCCATGGGATACCCCTGGCAGTACATTCAATCAAAAATTTTGTAAGGCCATCATAAATTGCATTTGCTGATCTGACACGTTCCAGGTCTTTGCCTTCCAGGTGTGGAAACCCAAGGGGGTGCTCCATGCTGCGTAGTGGCTGAGGTCCCCCTCCAGGGCCCAGTGGTATTTCACGGGCCTTGCTGCAAGTCCCGCACGGAGGTGCTGCATGTACAAATCTAACATCGTAGTGCTCAATGATGTGGAACATGAAGGCCCAGCCATGTTCAGTGGATAAATCGACATTGCAAACAGTTACATAGGAGTGGAAGCGATTGGATTTGTGGTCAACAGCCAAATGCTCAAAACCTGAATCCTTAAAACATTTGCTCAGCATTGCGGTCCCTGCACACAGTTCAATGATCAGAGGAGAGCCCTGCTGAGCATCCCCGGCTTTCACGCCTTCTTTGGCGGGGAGGCCAGGGGCTGTAGTTGGTTCACCAGCTTGTTCTTTTAAAGAAAAATCTGTACCAACATCGCAATGTGAAACATCTTGTACCTCATGTCAGTTGCTGCGCTTACTCGGGCAAGACTGGAAGGTATGGCCCGACTGGAAACAGTTTTTGACACAGCAAATGTGCATTCCCTTCCGGCATCACCCCTTTGTGACTGGCAGTTTGCAACCATGAGGTAGGTTATAATCGAAACATATTGGCTGATTGTTACGATTGCCAGGTGTGCCACCTTCGAGACCTGCAGGCATCTTGATTGTAAGCGATCCGGTTCCCTGCTGTCCCTTGGCTTTCCCTTTACCCTTGGTTTTTGGCCTGGGAACCTTGGTGTCAGGCTTGTCATAGGAAGAATCACTGCTGCGCTTGTTTGATGCAGCGGTTGGCAAAGGCTGCAACAGGTGTAAAACATCTGGATGCTCCATGGTAGCTCTGAAAATTTGATCCAAGGGTCTACCAGCACTTGTTGTCTGGACGCCGGATCGGGTCCCTTCTGCAAGTTTCACAAACAGCTTACGATCGGCATTGATAATCTGTTGCATGCTAATCTTGGCATATCCATCTGGCTGGCCTGCAACACGACAATCAAAAATCTTTTCGACCCACCTGTCATGCTCCAAGTAGTCCAGCAGGTTTGCCTGGTCAAGGGCCAGGCCACGTCTCATTAGAGCCAACCTGACAAACATATCTGATGACAAGTCTGCTTCCATTTTGCTTTCTTTATCTCTGATTCTAACGGCACCACTGGCATCGATTGCAACATGTTTGTCATCACGTTGAGATGAGTTCAAGACCTCTTGTTCCTTCGAAGTGCACCTGCTAAGCTCGATGTGCTGCAACCTGTTTTCCTCATACAACGATACTGCAAGATCAACCAACCTGTCACTGGGCTCAAGTTTTCCTTCGATGCGGATACCTTTCAGTTTTAATTGCTGGCGTTTCAGTCTATCTGCACGCTCTGGTTGAGCAAGCTTTTTGACAGGCATGTCCTCAACACGTTCGACTGAATGCTTGAGCTCTGCTGCAGTAAGGCTGTAGGCCTCGTGGAACAACCTTCTCAACGATGCCAACTGCCCTAAAGTTGGGTCGGCCCCTAATGCGGTGGTCATAGCTTGGACAAATGGTGACTCATCTGAATTGCCTGGAACATATGCTGAGCTGAAAGCATATTTTGCAAGGGTATTCACACCATTGTTGCATAAGGCCTGCACGTCAGCCTCATCCAATCCGAGGGCCGTTGCTCTTGCCCTGAAATTTGGCTCACTGTCTGTCAATGACATTGCACGAATGTCCTACAGCAAGGAAGTGGATTGTCTGAATGCAACATGTTCACATGAAAACTCGATGCACGAGAAACCTACATTCAAAAAAGAAATGAGATCTTCCGGATGCAACAAGTTCATATGCCAGTGCAAATTCAGCAAAATAAAATACATGACCCATCGGAGAAGAAAAAATTCTTTTTTTTTTTTTGAGGTCTCCCAAGTGGATCCCTCCTCACGGCGTCAAGTACGCCTCTTGATCCACCACGCATCAACCAAACGTTGATCTGACCCAAATGGTCAAGTGCCCAGATGGCAACATTCCAATTCAGACGGCATCAACGCGTCGGAATGCACTGACATGTCAATGTGCTTCACAACACATGGAATTGATCTCAACAGACACTCGGTCAAAATGGCTCATTTCTTTTGTTTCTCGCGCGCCACAATTAATCTAGTGCCTCCCTAAAACATTGCTTGCATTGAGGTGACATGAACTTTGGCCTGGTCGGCAGCTCCTCATACTTACTGCTGACATCTCTGCCACACCTGAATTTTGCGCCGGCTTCATCTGCAAGCAAATGGATGTACCTGGTAAAACGATTTCTGAAAAGAGGAGCGTCCTGCTGCAGCCCCAACGCTTCCAGAGTTGCATGCTCGTTCCATCGGCCCACAACATGGTCCAGGGCCTCTTCATTCATCTTTTGTTCCTCATAGCCATGCTCGTCGTCTCCCGAATCTTCAGAGTCAGATTCGCTCCAATCTGCATGCGCATGCTCTTCAGGAGGCTGCGATCCACTGTCAGCACCTGCATTTGGCTCAACACTCATAACACGCCCAGGAAAATACCCAGACCGAGTGGAATCGGGCAGAAAAGTCCTGCTTCTGACATGGGCAATGCATTCTTCCAACTGCCGAATGGGACCAGCTGAGGCGTCCCTTGAGTACAGCAAGGCCATCTTGTCTGCGTTGGCCATGTGGTAGCCCAGGTGCTGTCGGATGCTGATTGGAGCCCCGAACTTGGCCATCCAACTCAATGTTGTCGTTTTCAACGGGTGCGTCCCAATGTTTGCAAGGGCGTCCATTGGTATGCCAGATACACGGAGCACTTGTCGAAGCCAATCAGCACCTTCACCTGCTCCGACAGGCGATCTGGTCCACCCATTTGCAGTTGGATATGGCAGCATTGGCATGGATTCCCCTCTTGGTTTCCCAGATCTGACGCAAGCCTCTCTCCAGGATGTGAACCAATCCAAGCCAGTGACACCATACCGTGGCGCAACCATCGGTAGGTATCTGGTTTTCATTTCAGTGGTGTAGGCCGATTTTGTGCGTCCGACCTTTCCTTCAATGTAACCTTGGGCAACACCGTCAACAATAACCTCGTCCAATATGAGGTCCTGCAAGTTCATCATGTCAGAAAATCGTGCCCTGAAGTATACACACAGTAGGAAGCATCCAGCGGCCACCTTATCCCTGTCCAAATACCTGTCAGTCATGATGACCCTTTCCAAATGTTCAACCATTGCAACAGTGAGAGGATCCTTCTGCAAAGTCCGCCTCTTCTTCAAAAATGCCTCTCGAGCGCACCCCTCAACCCTCTTGCTATTGAGGACGCTCTCGCCACCAGTCACTCCAAGCACATGAAATGAAAATCTGACAGCAACCAAATATGAACGAAGAAAAGTTGGTGCAGCAGTGTCAGAATGATCGCACATGAATCTGTAAACAGCAGGTTCACTTAAAGGAAAAGCAGGTATGCCATTGTTGTCACACCACAACACGTATCGCAGGATGGGGCTGGCCCTAGCATGTAGTGTCCCTGTTGCTTTGCCTGCAAAAATGTGTTTCAGCCCATCGCCAAGCGCTTGTCCCATTGGTGTCAAACGATCCCACTGTCGACCAATCTCGAAAAAGTTCAAATAAGACATGATTATACCAGCCCACTTCCGAATTGCAGCTACCCTCTGAGAATTAAGCAACGACTCCCAGGATCTGCCGGTAATGGTCCTCTTTGCCCGGAAAATTCTAAGAGCTCCCGGTTTGTCATCAGTTCCATCTTCATCTTCCAGGACAGGTGCAGGCACAGCGAGTACTCCACACGGCTTAGGAATCATTGGAATGTTGCTCCCAGGAATTGAAATTGGAGGGCGCACAACATAGATAGGATTGAAAATTGACCCCCACACTGATCTGCGTGCAAATGCCAAATGTGATTCATAGGCGTCCATGCTTTCACAGCTCATCCCCACTTTCAAACCACAATAAATAGATGACAGCGGAAATGAACCCTGTGCCAAAACAGAGAAGGCTGCAGCTACAAACACAAAACAATGAAGGTTGATGCACATGAAAGGTCCTTGCAGGAAAAGCAGCCTGACCCTTCTCGACGGCAGATGCAGCACGGAAGGTCGCAACCATCAAACGGCAAAACGTGGGACAAAAACGATTGGCCAGGTGCCAACGAGGTCACTTGAGGGGAAACTGCAAACATTCACAAAGTTAAGCAGTGCCCAACAAGTGACAACAAACAACAAACCAACTGTTTGAAAGATCAGCTCTCCAAAACACAGGTTAAACAAATAACCAAGCAGACACTCTCGCCCTCCAGAGACTAGAAATGTTACCAGTTGTAACATGCCACACTGTTCCACCCTCACAACAGTTGGGTCAGAGTTTAGGGTTCAAGTTTTTTTTTTTTTGGTTGAGGTGGCACATGCCACACCTGCGAGTTGATAAGGTAACAAGGCTGGCGCCTAGTGAAACTTTTGCTGAACATGTCCTTCTTGTCCTTGTGCAGGCCGCTCCCCCTTGTAAATCGGACATTCGAATGGGATGGAGAATTTTTTTTGTAAATGCAAAAGATCTCGTGACATGGAAGTTCGTCGCTCGCCAAAGCAGGTTTCGACATGGAGAACGAAATGTAGTGGGTCCTCGGCAATACCTTGCAGATTCGGAAAGAGATCCTGCGGAGCTCGAATGGAATCGGGCGTATCACTAAAGATCCATCTGGTCGTAGACCTTGCAGATTGTGGTAGGAGCTGTGTCAATGCTTGATTGAAGCACTGTGGACCTTCCGAACGTTGCAAAGAAAGGCCAGGAAGTGCGCCAGTGAGACCCAAAAGTGAATGGAGCGCATGTGCTTCTCCAGGTTGTTGGCTCATCTTTTCTTGTCCAATCAAACTAAAGAGCGACTTGAAGGTGGCGTCGTGCGAAAGTACGGACCATTCTGCGTTGTTGGTATTGCGGTCGATGAGCTTTGTGTGCAATTCTTGAATTTGTGGTAGCGACCAAATGTCTTCCATAATCTGCCTTCTGGTCAGACGGTTTCTGGTTCCAAGAAGGGCGCAAGGACTGCCTTGAGATGCGAATTTTTGCGTTAGCTCCAAAAAAACAGCTTCTGATTTACCATGCTTCTGCAGCATCAGTGCGAAGAGCACATTGACAAACGAATGGTTGTAATACAAGTTTCGATTCACTCTGCGACAGTTGCGCGTCTGAGATTTCAAAATATATTTCGGTCCTTCGCCAGTCAAGAGCAGTACCATGTCTATATCATTGTATTTTCTCAAGTAGGCTTGCTCCTCTGCTGTTGGTTCCATCCACGCGCGCAAGTGCCGTGCGGACGCAGTCAGCAATTGCTCGCCCACTTGTGGTGGCTGAAATGGCATCAAGACCTGACAGGAAAACGGCATTGGGAAGACTACATTCTCGATTAAACAGGGATGGAAAGGGAAAATGATACTTGGTAATTTTAACACGGCAGAAGAATCTGAATTGAAGTTTTATGGAAAATGTAGAATGTCTTGATGATTTTGTTTGGAATTGCCTGCGCTTGTTCAAAGATCGCCAAGGCCAGGTGCCACTGAGCTTTTGTTCGCCCATTGGCGCAGAAACTTCTGGTTGCTGTATGGTATCTTCGCACATGAGTTCGTAACCTGTCTGTACGGTTAAATGATCTGAATGGACAAAACCTGCAGCGGTAGCCGTGCTCATCTTCAGCGACACCCTCGCCATCGAGAAATTGGTTAATTTCACGCTTCACATTTGTGCAAACTTGCTCGAAAACTTGTTCGGAAAATTCATCGCCAAAATCTGCAGGCGGCTGCCGCGCTGCCATGGAGACACCCGCAGCATCATGTGGAACATCTATGCTTGGGCTAGTCGTTTTGATATCATATGCGTGCCAGCTGAAACAATTCAACATGATGTAGGGAGGCAGCATACATTGTGTGTTCACTGTTATGAATGACTGTCTGACTGACTGACTGACTGACTGAATGAATGAATGAATGAATGAATGAATGTACTTGTGGTTTATATTTTTTGTTAACGTCAGTTTGCTTGCTAGATCTCTTGCTCGCCAAGTCATATTTGTGCTTTGCATGGTGAACTCATACGTTCTGCGATGGAAATTCGATGATTGTTAATTTCCACTCGCAGCAATGTAAGGAAACCAAATGCAAAAACAGAGGCATATGTTGGATATTCATCTCCACCATTTGATTTCAATAGTTAAGAAATGGAACGTCTAGAAAAAGCATCAGACAGTTGTACCATAGACGTCCGAAAGCAAATCACTGGAGATGGCTTCAGAAAATAATTCTTAAAACGCGTGTCAGAGTATATGTCATAACTGTCACTCCAAAAAACGGCCGTTCATATGCTACCTGATATTTATTCGGACATTCTCTCTTTGCAATCGTCCACTGTCAACTCTTGAGTAGCAATTTTAATGTGGATTGCCCGGTCTGGACGCTCAGTGACATGTAACTGAGATGGTCATTGCTATCTGGGGAGTCTTATGGTGCGAATCGCTCGGGTGGGAAGAAAATGTTTCTAAAAGGAAAGAAAAGGATAGTGTATTTCAACAAATTGTAAATGTAGGCTACAGACATAGTTGCGAATATATTGTCTATCTGCTTGCCGACGAATTCGCGCCCTAGTCGCGCAACTGGGTGCAGAAAAGACACTTGTGGCAGAATCGTGTGTCCCAGCCGGCTGCGCTGGCCATCGCGTTCCGCAGCGTCCACAAACTGCTGCAGTTGATCCTGTCGCGCGTCTGCACCAATCTCCGCGTACTCCTTCAGCTTGTCTAAATCAAGATGGCATTGGATTTCCCAGGTAGATTCCGACCATGGAAAGCTTTCTGGCTCGTCACCTGTCCAGTCTTGGTGGCTCGCATGAAAAAAAGTCTCTTAACTAAGGAACTTCACGTATATCTATCTATCTACCTACCTATCTATCTTCCTGTCTGTTTATCTATCTATCTATCTATCTTTCTATCTTCCTGTCTGTCTCTCTTTTTCGTCTCTTTGTGATTTGATCTGAAGGATGTCATGCCAAAAGTGGAAATGTCATAAGCAGCGTAAGGAATCCAAACGTGTGTCCTGTCTTTTGCAACCATGGAGATTTGCTGGGAAGACTGTAATCACCTGCCTTGAAGCAAAGAATCCCAAGAAGTTTCGCCAGGCTGCTCCTCGGGCCACTTCCAGTCGTCCCATGCCCCAAAGACATCTGCAACAGTAACTGCGTCATGTCCTGCACAGACGGAAGTGATCACTTCCTGCATACGGTCTACGTCAAGGGATCGTCGTAGAAATTTGGCGGCTCTTCCTGCTGCCCCAGGGACCTCCCTCAACAGATGTGGCCACTCTTGGCAAGCTTCTTGCAAATACTCTGATCTCAATCTCTTGGTGCTGTTTCTGGTTCTTGTGCTGACTCCTGGATTGTGCAAAAAAGAGAAGCGGTTCACGGCATGTGTTGTCAAGTAGGTATTTGTCATAGATCTGTGCGCCTCTCGTACCAAAGTTTCGGCAGTGTGTGGGGAAGCTCCAGGCGCTGCAACTGCATCATCTGGTGAGCTTGTGTCTGTCAACCGAGCCATCCTTTGCAAGAGCCATTGTGTGTCCTGCACAATGCTACAAGCATTGATATGGGGATGCTATTTATTTTTAGTCCAGCTTGCTGACTGTAGAAAAGAAAATAGTTGGCACATATTGGCACATGTAGCATTGATTGACTTGAACTTTGAAAAAACATTGATGGCGCATAAGGAGGAAGGATACATCGGAATTCAAAATTTGTTCGAATGTGCTGGTGGTACATCATATTCTGTCTAGGCGTATTCCTGCTCCTCGTCTTTTGCAAGAGATCTTATTCACACGTTCAAGATAATAAAGTGAAGAGTCTCTATGAAAACAAATCTGCTTAATAGTTCCTATGAAAACAAGTGTGGTGAAATCTGTTTGGAAGGCCACTGTGGAATCTGCATCGTGGTAGACAATGTGTCTCTTGGGTCTTATTCACGCAAGTGTTTTTGTGCTTTACGTCTGCTAAAGGCGGGGAATATCTGTCCTTCGCAGTTTGGCTATTGGGATCAATTTCTGTCAGCAGCTTCTGAGAACTTCGCGGGCAGTTTGCCTCCATGTATGGCAAGAGCCAATCGTTGTAGAATGTCCACACTGCTGCCGGTGATGCGCAAAAAGATTTTGCATCCGGATCGGAGAGAAAACGGCACTGAGATATATCGACTTGGCTGCCATCATGCGTCAAAGAGTTGCGCATGAACGTACATAAGAACCTTCTCGAATGGGACGTTTCTAAGGCAGTAGGTAGGGACGGAATGTCGGCGGAGTTCATGAGCCATGTTTTGGCACAATACTCGAAGCTATGATAGCGCGTTTCTGGCTCATGGTTCCTGCGCATTGGAAGGAGGCCGCCGGCAATCAAAACCTTCAACGTGTCTTCCTGAACTCCGGCTTCTCGCCGAACTTCGTCGAAAGTCAGCATCATGGCATTGAAGTAGGCATGTGCCTGCTGCTGCCATTTGCGCTCGACCTGCAAGGCATGTCATTCTGTCTGTCACTATAGTGACAGCAATGCTGCTGGCCAAACAAGTTAAGAAGTCTGTTTGAGTCTGTTTCCTTTGTCTTATGCAACAAAGAAAACTTAGCAATACCAGGGCCACTCGCAAAGATAGCTTTCAGTGCAAACAAGTAGTACATGCCCCGCACCCGATCGTGAGCCTGGAGGACACTGCAGGCTGGATTTGCAAATGCTGTGCCGAAACAAGCTCTCATCAGTTCAACGCAAACCATGGACTTGCCATCAGCGCCTGCGCCGACGACAATGTGCATCACTTCTGGCTGTCTGTATCGTGAAACTGCTAGGGCTGCTTGTGCCAGCAGGATGCTCAAACCATTGGTCTTGGCAAATGCTGAGACCAGCAAAGCTGCTAGACGTTGTCTGGCGTGGTCAGGCGGTGTCCACGCCAGGGCTGCTGGGACAAACATGTAGCACCCTCGGCGCGCATCCTTTTTCATCTGTCGTATTTTGCCTTTGGCCGTAGAGACATAACCTCGAAAACAATTGAGAAAACAACCATGGCAAGCATGCATTTTTGCAAGAAATTCTCCAAAGATTGCTGTATGTCGCGTGGCAGGTGCATTGACAAAGAAAATGGTATAGGGCAGATAGGTAGACACAAAGAGCGAGAGAGAGAGACAGAGAGAGAGAGAGAGAGACAGAGAGAGAGAGAGAGACAGAGAGAGAGAGAGAGAAGGGGAAGGTGCATAGATGGACAGACAAGATGCATGAGGCAAAAAACGAACGGATGGATAAAGACAGTGACAGATGGAAAGGGCAGAGAGCTGTTGGGTCCTGGGCTGATGTCTTGCACTCGCAGGTGATCGGATACATCATGGTCGCGGGTGCAGGCGAGGACTTGCGACCCAGCTCCGGCGTGCAACCCGCAAGGAAAAAGTCATGTGGGGAAACACGCGCTGGCGAGGGAAGCAGCGGTCCAGCACAGACCTCTCGGACACATTGTGACGAAGTGGAGTGATTGTGAGCTGTGCCAGGAAAAGCTTGTTTTTGAGTCTGGACTTGTCTTATGACATGCAACATGCATATCTGCGCGTTTTATTCTTTGGAGTCGTAGATCCCAAAAGCATCAATTTCAAATCTCACAAGTCACAACCTAAACGCCACGACTGCAACGACTGTCAAAAATGTGTCTGCCAAACTAAATCCAGGAAAAGTATACAATTGCCACGACTATCATCTGTGGGAGTATAGTGGGTAAACTCACAAAGATCTGACAGGTAAGCATCGTGTCCCTATGCGAAGTGACAAAAAAGACACCAGTAAGTTAAAGTCATAGGCGCTGCCCATGTGGGCCTTTCCCCTTAGGCACACCACGTTTTGGCACAAGATCTTGTCATCAGCACTTGTTAGAACATCGACCCAGTAGAAGTCTGTCCCATAGTCTACTAGCTTCTTGTAGCATGTGCTTTGCATTCGGCATAGTAGCTGTCTGCTTTGAACTGACTGGATGACAGCCTACCTATTTTGTGGTCATGTGTGAACATGCTGATGTCATGCAGTGCAATATCATGTCGCTTCAACCAGTTCCAAGACAGCCTTCGAGTTGTGAGTTGAAAGCAGCAGTTTGGAAAAATGAATGTCAAGAAACTTACATCCGTCAGCTGCGCAGTCACATAGATGGAAGATGGTAGTCTTTAAGGACCAATCAATACCAGGTCGTGTATTCTGATGTGATTCATGGTCTGCTGCGTCTATGCACACATGCCGTGGAAGTCGAAAGTCCAACAGCAAGTCCGATCAACACTCTGAGCTGTTCTGTGCCACCATGCTGACTAATCTGTCAATTTATTTTCTGACAGGTTGACAAGAATGGTTATCATGTGAAATGCGGCATGTGGCGTGGCTGTGACATGTCGATCCCTGTATGTGGCTAGGGCGCGAGCAATCTGCGAAAGCGATGCCAGCGTAGCTTTTGGCGTCCAGTGGCGAGTCAGACCAACGGAGAAAGGATTTGACCAGTGATCGGCTATGGTCTTGCAGAGCCTTGCGCAAATCACGTGCAAGCTCAGCACAGCCAAGGGACCATTGCCTGGAGCGTTTCTCTGGTTTGGCTGCGCTGAACTCTCCCAGTTGCCACTCCAACAAAGGTTCATCTGTGGACATACTCAAGATAACCTTCAACTCCCACGCCACCGAGTCATAGTCACGTGTGACTTGGTTTCCTTATTTGACTGAGGGGCAGCAAGCAGGAAACAGATCGATATATGTAGCATATGCAGCTTTTCGACGGTAAACCTGTAAGTCTTCAAGTAAATGTCGAAAATATAAGGGGTTTGCCATCAAATAGGACCTGTGAGGGGTCAAGAACTGGACGTGCCTGAACTATATGATTACACATGCGCATGAAGGGCTATTGGGTTGACATTGACTGAATGCATACCGTTCCCGTCAAAACACCGGATTTCATTTGTTGATGTCTTTGTGCAAGCGTGGAACGATCGATCGGATGAGCGAAGTAAGCTTGCGCTCGTCGCAAAGCCATGGTCAGAAATTCTAGATCTTCCGCTGTCAAAGTGCCCCCAGGCGACATCTGCCACGCACCTTGCCTGTAGGTGAACAAAGTATCTTTGTGAGATCGATAGCGTTCGCCCAGCAGCAAAGTAAAGATCTTTGTGTGCAAGACTTCCGATTTCGCATCGTCTGCGCAGGCGTCTAGTAGCAACAGGGAAGCCTAGGCCAGGCATTCAGTTGAAGTTCACACACTTGCGCACTTTCATCCTTGGCGCTGAATAGCATTAGTTCATTAGTTTCCCTCGCTTGCGCAATGAAGAAACATTAAACAATCAGCCTAGCTCTCTAGGAAACTCTGAGGTGAGGTGGGATGTGATGGGGTGGGTTGCTCTCGTACCTTGACAAGCGGACCAAAACGGTCACTGAGGCGGCCATCTGCAGCGCCGAGCAGCAAGCCAAGAAAGCAGGGCGGCCATGGTCGCCATCGAAAAAATATGAGAGGAAGACTATCCCCACTGCAATATGTGAGGGAAATGTCATTTTATATCCGTTTGGTACATGTCTTGTTAATGTGAAGCAATGTAGGTTTCGTATGAGTATGTTCGTCTATACATAGGAACTTGATGCGCAACAGTCAAACGAAGAACGTGTTCTTCACTGGCAGATGTTTTGATCTGTGGCAAAACATGTGTTGCATCAGAAGTCAACCATGCTATCAGCTTCAGGCTGCGCCATATATGGTATCGCAGCTGCGTAAGAAGTGTTGCGAAGCAACCTGTAAAGGTAGAGCAAGCTTGCCATGCCACGCAAAATGTATGTAAAAAGCATCCCGTGCCGCGCCTTCCACGCAGTCAACGCAGCAAGCACAAAGGCAGCACGCGTCCCACCAAGAGCAAGTGGCGCCATAAGCGTCGCACCCGATCACCAGCGTCCAGCGTCATTTCGTATTTTTCTTCCTCAGATTTTAAAAGCACCGAATTCGCGACGCAAACCGCAGCTCACAAGCACCATGCACTGCACCTGCCACGTTAACGGTATTGCAATAGCATCACTTGTCGCACCTCCCATGCGCAAGGGCAGCAAGTATAAAGCATCTTCTGTGCCAAACTGAGCAGAGAAGCCACGGTCCGCTGCACCCCTTCCTTATTCACAAGAAGTGCGCATGGCCAAAAGCGTCTCGTCAAAATGGGAAAGTTTCGCGCCTTCCACGCACAAGGGAGACAGGAAGCTCACAGCTTAGGCCGCGCCAGACGCGTCACAGATGATCCTGCAGTACCAGCGCCGCTTTTTTTTGTATTCGATATATGCTGCACCTACCAGAGAAATTACACGCCTGCCACGCCCTAGGTATCTCAGAAGGAGCGAGACAGGCAATCTGTAGCACCTCCTCAGTGCGGAGCCAAGACTGCGCAGGCAGCACAAAAGTCAGCTCAGAAGTACACAGTGTCGCACCTGCCACACGCACACAAAGGCAAGAGCGCCTGCCACTGCATGCAAGGGGCACCGTGCACCGCGCGCGTCAGATGCGATTCTCCGCTTTCAGTTCTTTTCCGTCCTTACACACAAAGGAACGCGCCTGCCACGCCAATGTCACATGGGCATGACTTCATGTGTAAAGAGGAAGCAAGTCCAGTAGACAAGCGGGGCCAAAACCCAGTGCATTCAACGGAAAAAAAAGCGTGCACAAGCGACTGTTCGCCCAGCTGCCTGCGCTGCTGCCCGCTTGACGAGCCAAGTCTGGTCCAGAATTTTATTCTCCCACTGGAAGGTGCTATCGATGCGCTGCCGAAGGGTATCCATAGCTTCTGCTAAAGAAGCTGGTCGGGTTTCTACATCCGGGGTGAAGGAGCGGTTTCTGACGACCAACATCTGCAAATCCGCAGGACACCAGGCACGAGTCACGGCCAGGTAGTCCTGTGCCTCTGCTGGAGCCTGTGTTTCCTGTGAATTTGTGAGCTGGACGTCTTCGGCAATCTCTAAGGTGGCGTGGCGCTGGTGCAGGATCTCTTCGTTCGTCTCCGCATCTGCCCTTCTGCGGTCATAGTCAGAGTTCCAAGCGTCCATCTCCGCGGATATGCAGTTGACAGGCGTCGCTGTAGAGTTGTTGTTGTTTCCTACCCGTGTATTTAGCTATGTATCTATCTATCTATCTATCAATCTATCTATCTATCTATCTATCTGGTTATCTATCAATCTATCTACTACCCAGAACTGAGTCTAGTATACTATACAATGTTTGTTTGCCATCCCGAGGCATCCCTGCAGGAATGCGTGAAGTTCGCTCGTGAGGAATTTATGATAGATTTTAGTGTGTGTGTGTGTTGTGAAGTGAAAACCATCTCACTCAGCACTAGTTCTCGAGTAACATGATGCCGGTTCAAACAGATGTTACACATTGCCGCAATGTTACATGCAGAAAGCTGTCGGGTCTTCTGTCCGTTTAAATTCTATCGGATGAATCCGCAGGGGAAATTGCCAAACACATCCAAATGCAACGTTTGCAAAGCAACTGAAACAACAGGCAGCTGCCAATTTGTGCACGGCGTGTCCCAATTTTTTTTGGATGATCTGACAACACGACTGCGCAACATTCAGAAAAATTGGCACAAATTAAAATCAAATAGACCGCTGAGTGCGAAGTGCACACAGTTGCGCCAAGTTCGGTTGGCGGCAGTGTTTATACATGTCATGGAAATATAAATACATACATGTAAAAGTATAAAAAAAGATAAACGCATATACCTATATCTATATATATATATATATGTGTGTGTGTATATATATATATATATCTATTCATATGACGTCGCGGCTAAGACGCGGAGTGCGAAATACGCGGGCTTGGGAAGCGCACCCGACCATCGCAAGGGGAACGCCGCACACCAACGGACACGCAGGGGGGACGGGGGAAGGTGGGATGTCAGATCTCTAATGATCTCTATACATATATTTATAAATGTACCCGACCGAACTGACGAGTCAGTATATGGCGTGTGAGTGGCACCGCGCCGGTCCAGAATTTTATTCTCTCACTGGAAGGTGCTATCTATGCGGTGCCAAAGGGTATCCATAGCTTCTGCTAAAGAAGCTGATGGGGTTTCGACATCCGGAATGAAGGAGCGGTTTCTAACGAACATCGCGCGCAAATCCGCAGGACACCAGACACGAGTGACAGCCAGGTATTAATATCCTGTGCCTCTGCTGGGGCCTGTGTTTCCTGTGAATTTGTCAACTGGACGTCTGCTGCAATCTCTAAGGTTGAGTGGCGCTGGTGCAGGATCTCTTCGTAAGGAAACAAAAAGATAAATAAATGTATATATATATATTTATAGTTAGAAGGATCTTTCAAAGAGAGTGCAAGGTTGCGGAACAAGCATTGTTGATGCAGCGCAGTACGCGTAAACATCATGTAGTGTACGTTGCATAAAGTATCACACATATTCATGAAACAAAGACTCGGTATACAAGCATATCATATAATGTATTTATCGCATTCGTCATACGTCGCTGCCACTCCGTCGCAAAACATAAACCAAACAGAAAACACAAAAACCGAAAACACATGACATGAAAAGCATCGACATCACTGAATGAGAATGAACTGAATGTTCGAAACGCACATCTGACATGTGTGACATCCACAGTTTCACGTTTATTTGTTTAAGATGATTGACAGATACTGCACTTGAATCATAGCCACCGAAACATCATATCCACGTAAGACATTTTTACGCGTGTAGAACATTGATACACATTCAAAGTTTGAAAGCCGCTCATGCCTTCGCTTTCCGTCTGACTATAAACCAGCATTAGCAAGCGAACGCAAAACATAAATATATGTAGATATAAATATATATATATATACACATCTATTCATATAACGTCGCGGCTAAGACGTGGACTGCGAAATACGCGGGTCTGGGAAGCGCGCCCGACCATCGCAAGGGGAACGCCGCACACCAACGGACACGCAGGGGGGACGGGGGAAGGTGGGATTTCAGATCCCTATGCATATATTTATATCTGTATTTTTATATAATTATATGTATACATATATATATATATATTAACACACACATATGTATATATATAAATACAATCTACAAATATCCAAATGTATCCGACCGAACTGACGAGTCAGTATGTGGCGTGTTAGTGGCACCGCACCGGTGCAGAATTTTATTCTCCCACTGGAAGGTGCTATCTATGCGGTGCCAAAGGGTATCCATAGCTTCTGCTAAAGAAGCTGATGGGGTTTCTACACCCGGAATGAAGGAGCGGTTTCTAACGAACACCGTGCGCAATCCGCAGGACACCAGACACGAGTGACAGCCAGGTAATAGCCTGTGCCTCTGCTGGGGGCTGTGTTTCCTGTGAATTTGTCAACTGGACGTCTGCTGCAATCTCTAAGGTTGACTGGCGCTGGTGCAGGATCTCTTCGTAAAGAAACAAATAGATAAATGAATATATATATATTTTTATATATAGATACACACATATATATATAATTACATATATACAAATCTATTCATATAACGTCGCGGCTAAGACGTGGATTGCGAAATACGCGGGTCTGGGAAGCGCACCCGACCATCGCAAGGGGAACGCCGCACACCAACGGACACGCAGGGGGGACGGGGGAAGGTGGGATTTCAGATCCCTATGCATATATTTATATCTGTATTTTTATATAATTATATGTATACATATATATATATATATATTAACACACACATATATATATATGTATAAATACAATCTACAAATATCCAAATGTATCCGACCGAACTGACGAGTCAGTATGTGGCGTGTTAGTGGCACCGCACCGGTCCAGAATTTTATTCTCCCACTGGAAGGTGCTATCTATGCGGTGCCAAAGGGTATCCATAGCTTCTGCTAAAGAAGCTGATGGGGTTTCTACACCCGGAATGAAGGAGCGGTTTCTAACGAACACCGTGCGCAATCCGCAGGACACCAGACACGAGTGACAGCCAGGTAATAGCCTGTGCCTCTGCTGGGGCCTGTGTTTCCTGTGAATTTGTCAACTGGACGTCTGCTGCAATCTCTAAGGTTGACTGACGCTGGTGCAGGATCTCTTCGTAAAGAAACAAATAGATAAATGAATATATATATATATATATTTATTTATATATAGATACACACACATATATATATAATTACATATATACAAATCTATTCATATAACTTCGCGTCTAAGACGCGGATTACGAAATACGTGGGTCTGGGAAGCGCATCCGACCATCGCAAGGGGAACGCCGCACACCAACGGACACGCAGGGGGGACGGGGGAAGGTGGGATTTCAGATCCCTATGCATATATTTATATCTGTATTTTTATATAATTATATGTATACATATATATATATATATTAACACACACACACATATATATATAAATACAATCTACAAATATCCAAATGTATCCGACCGAACTGACGAGTCAGTATGTGGCGTGTTAGTGGCACCGCACCGGTCCAGAATTTTATTCGCCCACTGGAAGGTGCTATCTATGCGGTGCCAAAGGGTATCCATAGCTTCTGCTAAAGAAGCTGATGGGGTTTCTACACCCGGAATGAAGGAGCGGTTTCTAACGAACACCGTGCGCAATCCGCAGAACACCAGACACGAGTGACAGCCAGGTAATAGCCTGTGCCTCTGCTGGGGCCTGTGTTTCCTGTGAATTTGTCAACTGGACGTCTGCTGCAATCTCTAAGGTTGACTGGCGCTGGTGCAGGATCTCTTCGTAAAGAAACACATAGATAAATGTATATATATATTTTTATATATAGATACACACATATATATATATAATTACATATATACAAATCTATTCATATAACTTCGCGTCTAAGACGCGGATTACGAAATACGTGGGTCTGGGAAGCGCATCCGACCATCGCAAGGGGAACGCCGCACACCA